TTTAGTTTTAGGAAGTTTGAGGTGAACCAGTCTTTAATTTCAAGTAGGCAGTTAGTAAGGGACAAGGGGGGGAGTGAGGAAGTGGGTTTACTGGATAAATAAAGCTGGGTGTCATCCGCATAACAGTGAAAGTGAATTTTGAATTTCTGGAAAATACTGCCAAGGGGAAGAAGGTAGGTGATGAAGAGGAGGGGGCCAAGAACTGAGCCTTGCGGAACACCAGAAGTGACAGGGGAAGGGTGCGAAGTGAAAGATTTGAGCTGAATAAACTGAGTGCGGTCGGAGAGATATGAGCGGAACCTGTCAAGAGGGATGTGAGAGATGCCAAGAGAGGATAATCTATTGAGGAGAATGGGATGAGAAATGTTTAGTGTGAGTATCTGGACTGGGCCACACTCAAGGAGTCAGCACAGTCCAGAAACAGTTTTGCATTTTTTTTCATTTGTTTGCATCCTAACGGTCTTCCTATTTTACTGGTCTTAATTAATTATGCTAAAAGCTTTTTGATAGTTTTTCTGAGCATTTTGATTTGGGTGTTGTAGTGAGAAATGTTTGTATCAATGAGGAATAACTCTCCCTCCCTCAGAGCTCCTTTACAGTCTGCCCATAAGCTCTATGGGAGGATATCATGCATTTTTAAACCTAGACCAACCTTATATTCTCTAGTTTAATTTAATAAGTTATATAGACTCATCTGCACAAAACAAATCAAATTTAGTTTCTTAACATATGCAGAATGTTTGCATTGATGGTGAGTTTTTAGTTTTAAAATAGAGTGATTTCCTCTGGTGGTGTACAAGTATTTTAAGTGCTTAATTTGTTCAAGATTTGAGAAAGCAAATTCCACTTTCCTAAAATCTGTTTTCTTTTATTTTAGAGTAGAGCAGCATCACAAAAGTTTTCTGTCCATCCCCTCAGCTTACCATACTGCAATGAAGGCCAGAAGTCTCTTAAAGGTAAGTCCTGTGCTGTATAAAGGTATTTGATTTAGACTTGGACAACTTTTATCGTCATAGTGTCTACAAAACAAAATTTTGTTTAGTACAGCTTTCAGACAGTATATGGACATTTCCATTCCATATAGTGCAGCAGTGATAAAATGTAAACAGTGTGGGAGGAAAAAAAACATGGTGCAAAAAATGCATTAATATGAATGTCTGTCTGATGGTGGTGGGGAAGGAACTTGCAGAATCTGCTGGACCTTTCATAGAATGCTGTGAAGCCTCTTCCCAGAGGGCAGCAGGGAGAACAGTCCATGGTGGGTGTGTAAGGAGTCATTGATGATGTTACGGGCTCAGGACACACAGCGCTAGGATGAAATGTCTTTAATTGAGGGAAGAGGAACCCCGATGATCCTCTCTGCTGTTCTCACCACTCTTCCTAGCACTAAGTTGCTAACTGGTTAGCAAGAAGCTTCCAAGACAGCGGCCACAATCAAACTTGCTTGCGAACCTTCCGTCACAACAACCCCAACCTCTTGATAAACAAGCAATCACATTCACTTTAGTCACTCGTGTAAAGTCGGGCACCACTTGGGAGAATTTGGAAATGCATCGTTTGGGACAGCCGTTTCCCCTACGAATTTAGTGAACGGAAGAGAAACCCCAATGATCCCCCCTGCTGTTCTCAACACTCTTCTCACCCTCTTCGAATCTGAGGCGATGCAGCCTCCACACCACACAGGGAGACAGCAGATCAGAGCGCTGTCTATGGTGCTTCTGCAGAAACACCATAGATGCTGTGGGAGGATGGTGTTGAAAGCTGAACTGAAGTCGAGGAACAGCATCAGCACGTGGGTGCTCTTTTCCTCCAGGTGTGCTGAGGTAGGGTGTAGAGCAGAGGATATGGCATCCTCAGTGGAGCAGTTCTGTCTGTAGGAAAACTGTGTTCTTTAACCAGCCTTTCAAAGCACTTCAGCATGATGGGAGTCAGTGTGACAGGCCAATAGTATTTCTTAGAAGAAATACTAAGAGACAGATAAGTGTTTCTCGCTAGTTCGTAAAGTCCTGAATATGAGATTGAATCCTCGATTCACGAAGGACTTCTGCCAAGAACCATAGCACCGTTGCCCTACCCATCAAACATGTAGAATTAAATTAAGCACTTATATAAACTAACCACATATAACCGGGATTCACAGGAAATTTGGCCACCCAAATTTTTAGTTTGAAAAAGACAAAAAAATACATCTTCAGTTTTTGGCAAACGGACATTTAACACCTAAACAACACGGCTAAAATTTGTGATGACACGACGAAAAGCACAGCCAGCATACAGAAAAAGGATACTAAGCAAACAGCACAGCCAGTATGCAGAAATAATACGCGGAAAGGAAAGGACTGAAGCAAAAGCATTTGAGAGTTTCAACGCTGCACATCGGTCTCACTGCATACTCAGGTCAGTGGCACAAAAATTATTCTATAGAAATCCAAACATCCCCACTCACTTCTCCATTTCAAATCGCAGCTCAAAATGCATCTGCCTATTCACTTTAATATCAATTTCTCTGTCCCAGCCTTTGTATTTTTAAATGGTTTTTATGCTGTGTTTTGACTTTGTTTCTGCCATTTTGTTTTTATCTTTTGCAATGTGACCTTGAGTTTCCAAAAAAGGAGTCTTTTAAATAAATTGTATTTTTATCATTATCATCATTGTACTGCCCAGTTAAAAATAAAAGTACTTAAATATAATCAATTTGTGTTCTGGGTTTTCAGAGGTGAAGGAATACAAGCGAGACATTCTTCTCCCTGCTACTGCTCAGTCTCCCAGTCAAACATCAATGGTGTCATCCATGTTGGAGCAACACATGGCGGATCTGAGTAGCACTCAGGAGTGGGATACAGAGTGGAAAAGTCAGGGACTTCTGTACCGTCTTGCGCCACAGGTGAGGGCTGCACAACACTACTACTGCTACATCAGCTTGTTTGTATATTCTTGAATCTAAAAGTACATAACAGGGTTTCTTCTAGGTTTCTTTCTAATTTTGGCGCTTCAGGGGGGTTGACCATTTCAAACTGAGTGTTTTATATAACTTTTTTTCTCTATATCCACAGCTGATCTCCCCTTTACTAATCACCCAATTGTACAGTTTTCATCCTTGTTGAGAACATTTAATATTTCTGTGTTTCTTGAAGAAAAGCTTTTATGGAGTCTGCGGTGAGTGTGGTGGATTCACTTAAAAATTACAAACCGTGCGGCAAAGCATCCAACAGTGAACTCCACGTGGTCAGGGCATTAACTGCTCTGCTCTCACATCATGCTACTTGACAGAACTCGGATGTTGTCAAACAGCAGCACTGCATGGAAATTAGGTGATTGCTGGAGTTGAAATGGGCTGAACTTTTCTGGAAAATCTCAACACAACGACCACTCAGGGAATGGTTGTAGGCAAAGCCCTTTTCACTTAAAATAAAATGCAGAAGAAGTTTAATTTATTTATTGCCACCCCTGTAGGGGTCATAAATATCTTATTTAATCTGATATTATTTGAACTGTCCTATATTGTTTATGAACACACGCCCTACTGGCTGTGTGTGACCAACAAATGAAAGTATGGATTGAACTCAAATCATGGTCAAAAAGATAATTCAGCAAATACCTGGAATAAATTCCCCACAACTTCCATTCAAAATGTAAGAGTTTATTAACAAAAATCATTCAGCACTTAGACAACTTAATTGTTTTATTTTGTACACACAGAGTGTACAGTATACAGTAAATGAACATTGTCCAGCAGTGATCAAATTTAAAAAAAATGGGGGAGAAAAAACATAGTGAAAAAAACATGTCAATATATAAGTTCAGAGCATTAATATATACGGTGCAAATATACAGTATTTTGGTTTGGTGTTACCAATGTGATGCAGAGTCTGTGACATGATTTAGAGTTTTTTCAACATTCAGCTGTCTGATGGTGATGGGGACGAAACTTGGAGAATCTGCTGGACCTGTATCGAATGCTGCAAAGCCTCTTCCCAGAGGGTATTAGGGAGAACAGTCCATGGTGGGGGTGTGAGGGGTCATTGGTGATGTTACGGACTCGGGACATTCATCACTGGGATGAAATGTCTTTAATGGAGGGAAGAGGAACCCCGATGATCCTCTCTGCTGTTCTCACGACTCTTCGCACTTTCTTCCAGTTTGAGGCACCACAGCCTCCACACCACACAGTGAGACAGCTGGTCAGAGCGCTCTAGGCTAATTCTGTAGAATGTCGTGAGGATGGGTGGGGGCAGGTTTCTCATCCACAGGAAGTACAAGCACTTTTGTGCCTTTTGACTAGTGAGGTGGTTACAGTCCAGGTGAGGTTGTCTGTGATGTGCACCTCCAGGAGTTTGGTTTGCTGACCACCTCTACAGCTGAACTGTTGAAGAGCAGTGAAGCATGGTTAGGTTCTTCCTGAAGCCGGCAATGATCTCCTTCAGCTTCTCCACGTTCCGGATCAGGCTGTCAGTTTTGCACCAGCCAACCAGCTGCTCCGCCTCCTCTTTGTAGTCCTGGTTGTTAATGTCTCTGATGAAGCCCACCACCGTAGTATATTCTGGAAACTTTGCAATGTCATTGATGATGAACCTGGGGCTGCAGTCGTGTTTCATCAGAGTGAACAGCAGGTGGCTCAGGACGCAGCCCTTAGGGGAGCCTGTGCTTAGGGTGATGACATCAGAGGTGTTCTGTCCAACACTGACTGACTGAGGTCTGTTTGTGAGGAAGTCTAGCAACCAATTGGAGAGGGGTGTATTGAAGCGCAGCTGTTCCAGTTTGGCTATTAAATGCTGTGGGATGATGATGTTGAAAGCTGTACTGAAATCGAGGAACAGCCTCCGCACGTGGATGTTCTTCTCCTCCAGGTGTGCCAGGCTCACGTGGAGAGCAGCAGAGATGGCTTCCTTAGTGGAGGCACGTGCACATGCTGTTCTTAGAGCTTCTCTATCACCAGATTTGAAAGCTCAGTTCCCTGGTTTTAGCAATTACCTCCCCATTCATCCAGGGTCGTTGGTTGGCCCGGGTGGTTATGTTGACGTCCTCAATGCATTTGTTGATGTAGGCTGACACAGTCATGGCATACTCATCTATAGTTATCTTGTCATAGGTCTGCAGCTTACCTATTTTGTGTATTTGTCTGGAACTGTAGCGAGCCACTGCCTTCAACCTTAGCTATCTTGGATCCAAGTCAAGCTCCTAGTGAAACACTAGAAAACCTCAGTAGAAAACTCTTGACTAAAAACCAGTTAAACTAAACTAAATGCCATGTATGAAGAGGAAGGGAAAACATGGTCAAAAACCATAATAAATGAGATGATGCAATAATATCACAGTTTAGGATGGAATTTTGTGTCTGAAAATCAGTTTTTTGGGATGTGTTCAAATTAGCTTTTCACAAATTTATAGTGATCGGAATGTTTACAAACAAATTTACAATACAATTCCATGAGGTGAATAAAACATCTTTTGGCCAAATAATGTCCAAATGTGGTCAATTGTATTGCTCAATCAGGAACTAATAACATTTAAATGTTATTAATTAAACTCTTAACCATCTTTGAAATGGCTAGCAGCGAATAGACAAAGATTCCATTATATGACTTTTGGTCATAATTTGGTCATCAAAATGTAATGAGCATATGAGAAAGCACAGAAACAAGTGTTTAAGTATTTATTAGTGTTTGAACCCTTAGTGAAGTAAAGCTTGTTATAGCTTATAAAGAAAACGGCTCAAAATCAGTAACGTGAAATGATCGAAATCAACAAAGACAAAATCTGTCCCAAACAGTGGCAGACCTTATACCTCTGCCCATGTCCTTATATCTTATATACCTTGATGTCTGAAAGACAAGATGGCCTCCAATGGAAAATAAGAGATTGTTTAATCAAGCAGACAAGAAAAATAACTGAAATGTAGAAACTGAGATGAATGGTGTTCTTACCAACTTTGTCACATTTACCTGTTAAAGATAGGCCCGGTGTATACACCCTTATGCTCTATCTCTCCGGTTCTTTTTTTTCCGAAAACAGATCACTCGGGACAAACTCTTTAAATAACATTTCATAACTTATATGTATTAAATAACCATGAAACAACAGATTTTGATAGAAAATTGTAATCTTACTCAGATCAGAGAAATTGGTTTGGGGTTACAGAATGGCAGCTGCTCACCTCTGGGCTCACCTCTCAGGAAGTTGCCCCGATTAACTTTAAAAATGCATTTTATACATCTCCAGTCTGCCACATCATCATATTTTACATCATACACATTAGCAGATGATTAGACATCCATGGCTCTGACGCGCAATAGGCAGCCCATACCAGGGTGTGATAAACTCACAAACCTTCAATGATAATTATCCTAACATACCAAAGGCAATCGATGCATTATATTGCCTCCAGTGTGAAAAGTATCTGGATTTCAAGTTTTTTGGACACTGCCTTCTTTTTTTAATGATTTTCTGTGCAGTTCTTCTTACAGCTTTATTCATCCCTATTGGGTGACTGATTTGCTGCACACAGTACACAACACACAATAATACATGCAATGTTGTAAGCTGCAGAGAGATTTGAGTTTCACAATTTATTTAACATACATTTATTTTTTATTTTTAATGATTTAACCTCTTGGGGTATGGAGGAAAGTGTTCTATTTCTTGAGAATGTGGTAGGCACTACCTTCGCTCAGATGGGAAGCTTAGGGGCTGTTTATGTGTATTTTGTCAGTTTTTTGCCAGTTCTCTCGTTATGGTCACCCTACTTCTCGAAGACTTTTTCTGAACCTCTGTTGCATTTTCAAACCAACATACATGACAAAAGGATAAATAGTATCGATAAGAAAAAAAAAAACATTCAGTTTAGTTTTTGACATTGAATAAGACTGTTCTTAGTCCTGGTGCTTGTCTATAATAGAAATTAGAACAGTCAGGTTTTAAAGTCAAATTCTGAAGATGGCAATCGTGAAAGTCAAAATAAGATAATAAGAAAATAACAAAGAAGTCAAGATAAAGGTGATTTGCTGTTAACTGTTCTTTTTTTGTTTTGTTTTTTTGCATTTCAAACAGGAGTACCGCTCAAGGAAGCTGAAAAGATTGCGCAATCGTATCAAGGAGCAGCTTCGTTCTGTTGCTATGCAATCTCCTGAAAGCATCTACAGTGTTTGTCGACCCAGCTCCGAGCTCTCAGACCTCCTGCGGGCCTTCAGAGGGCCTGCCCCCTTTGACCTCATCCTCACCAAGGGCACCCATTTCACACACACTCAGAAGTTCACTTTTACAGAGGTAAATATATCTGAAAGAGTATTCATGGAATTCAAACTAAAAAACCTGAGTTTAAAGTGAATATTGTGTTGGTTCTGCAGGAAGCTACAGCTGTAAAAAGCCAGGTTCACAGTGGACGTCATTCAGAGGGTGACACTCAGCTTCACCAACAGGAGGAGCTAGCGTTACTCCAGCAGCAGTTTCAGCAGCTCTGTAGTGATATTGACCAGATAGCAGCAGACATGAGGCACAGGAGTGTCACTTCTACTCAGGTATTTCCCACATCATTCAGATTTTATGTTCTTCCTTACAAATTAGTTTTTTATTTTCCTCGAGTTGTATTCATTATGTTAATAAAACATCAAAAACAGATTTGAGAAGATCCGATCCCAATATTGAAAACATGCCAGTAGTTCTCATCAGAGGGAATTCTGCCAAAGAAAGCACAGTTCAGTAGTATCCGGCATGTGTCTAAGTGATTACTGTTATTTTCAGTGCTAGCAACGAGCATGAGCTTTTGTTTCTAGTTAAGAACTCATACAGGTTTGGAGTTGATGGTGTAGACAAGAGGTCTGTTTACATAACATTTTTGGTAAAATTTTTATAAGATTTGTTGGTATAAGATCTTTGGTGTACGTTTAAGCCCCTGCCTAACAATGCTGCCAGTTCTGTTAGCTCTACGCCTGCCGACGACACAGAATTTTATCCCAGTGAATACTGGGACGTAACTCAATGGTAGTAAATAAATGCTGTTTCTCAATATGTGTGTTCTCATGTGCTTGTGTACTCGTGAAACGTCATCAGCCTCAGCCCTAGTACTGTACAATTTCACAAGAACAGCAGACCAAGAACAGACAAAGTCCTCGGATGTTGTTCTCACCCCTCTCTTTTTACCAAGCATTGATCAGAGCAGACTTTTCGGTTCTTGAGATTGGCAGCTGTCCCATCATGCACTGTGGCAGCAGCAGCTTTCAATGGAGTGCTCACAGAGCTCAGAGTATTAAGTTAAAAGTTCTCTTTTCTGTTGCTGTTCTTCAATAATTTGAGGCGAGAACATAAAAATTTTAAGCGTCACTATATGGGCCATTCTCTAATTTAATGTGTAATTTACATTTTATTTTATTTTTTTAAGTTGAGAGGACCGCGGCAACCAGCGGAGCTCTGTGGGTAATGGCAGCCAGGTCTAAGAGCAGCCTGTCTGCAGCAGCCCTCTCTCGGCATAGCTGTGTGTGAAGGACCGCTAGCTACAATGGCGATATTTTTGAGTTATTTGGCAAAATGTTCATTTGATTCATGTTTATCTGACTGTGTTGAGTAGTGGTATTCCCCCAGTAAATGAAAAAGTTAGAATTCATTATTATCTAGTGACTTAATAACAGGAGGAGAAATGCAGCTTCAGACGAGGTGACGTCACGAGTATGCTTCTTTTCCAATTGAACCATATTTATGCTGCATGCTCCTGTTCTCCCTTAGTCCATACTTTCCTGTGTTCCTTTCAAAAACATACTTGGCGAGGAAATGAGTCAATACTCACATTCTAGTGAATTGAGAAAATGGCCAATGATTTTTATTTCAACCGTTGAATATATTAGCTGCAACATATGAATCAAGATGCTATGACCAAAAAAATTTGATTGACAGATCACCGTTAATATATGAATGGCTGAATTAAGGTGTACAAGCTGATGTACAACTAACCAGCCTGCATATAATAACGAGAAAAAAACACAGATTTTAAGACATTTTTTTTAAAATAGAAATGTTCTACATTTTGGGACGATATCGTCTGAGTACATTTATACACATGTTTAAGCCATGATGAATGATTTCACATTTAAATATGACTTCTTGCGACTTTAAGTTCGAAACCCTCAACTAAGCAAGTTAAACTCAGCTAAACTAAATAGTTGCGATGTACCCATAGAAGGAAAAAGACAATTGAAGTTGATTGAAAATCGTTACCAATGAAATAATACAATGATATCACAGTTGTGAACTGAAATTCATTTTGAAGTATTTCCAATGAAATTATACTCATTATTAAATTAACTCATAAAGCAATTGGAATGTGCTCAAACCAATTCACTAGTGCAAATCCATGAGTTCAATTGAATGCTTTTAATAAAAAAAATATTTTATTTAATTATTTTCCCAATCAGAAATCAATAACCTTTTAGACTTGTCATTCCTGATACCGTATGTATATTCCTCTGACAATAACAATGGATAACACAAAAATATGAGTTAACATAAAATTAAATTTATAGGCCTCTCCAGTTAGATATGCGAGTTTTTGAGAAGGGCACTGTGCTGCGATACGCACCAAGGGCTATATGTTAACATGAAAACTCAATTATTATGTTTTGAAATAAGTGTGACTGTGACATTTGCACTGCTTTCAACGTCTAAGTGGCACAGTGGCCTTCACATCATTGGTTAATTGCTGACCGACCATCTAAAACCTTTTCCCTGCAATACCCTGATTTTCCTGATAGATTACCCATTAGTCTAGAGTCTAGACACATTGACCATTGTTGGAGTGTAACTTTCTAGGTGCCATTTTTCCCCTGGTAAAGATGAGTAGACCAAGGGAAATACAGTAAGCCAAGAAAAGTTCACAGTTTTCAAAGAGTACTATATCAGCCATCACTTTGACACAAAGCATTCTAACTATGCTAGCAATCAATCACCACAAGAACAGGCAGCTAATGCTCAGAGGTTGACAGCTAATTTACAGTCTCTGCAGAATTATCTGTATCTCCTCCTTTGTGCAAGGATAAGCAGGAGGAGCACTGCCAGAGCCCTACAAAATGACCTCCAGCAGGCCACTGGTGTGAATGTCTCTGACCAAACAATCAGAAACAGGCTTCACGAGGGTGGCCTGAGGGGCCGACATCCTCTAGTGGGCCCTCTGTTCACTGCCCGGCACCGTGGAGCTCGATTGGCATTTGCCACAGAACACCGGAATTGGCAAGTCCGCCACTGGCACCCTGTGCTTTTCACAGATGAGAGCAGGTTCACCTTGAGCACATGTGACAGACCTGAAAGGGTCTGGAGAGGCCATGGAGAACGTTATGCTGCCTGTAACATCGTTCAGCATGACCAGTTTGGTGGTGGGTCAGTGATTGTCTCGGGAGGCATATCCATGGAGGGATGCACAGACCTATACAGGCTAGAGAACGGCACCCTGACTGTCTTTAGGTATCGGGATGAAATCCTTGCACCCATTGTCAGACCCTATGCTGATGCAGTGGGTCCTGGGTTCCTCCTGGTGCACGACAATCCCCAGCCTAGTGGCGCGAGAATGCAGGCAGTTCCTGGAGGATGAGGATGATACCATTGATTGGCCCCCAAGCTCGCCTGACCTAAAGCCAAAGAACACCTCTGGGACATTATGTTTCGATCCACCCGACGCTGCCAGGTTGCACCTTAGACTTTCCAGGAGCTCAGTGATGTCCTGGTCCAGATCTGGGAGGAGATACCCCAGGACACCACCCATCGTCTCATTAGCAGCATGCCCTGTCAGGCATCCATACACACACACGTGGGGGCCATACATATTACTGCATACCATTTTTAGTTGCTGTAATCAAATTTCAGCAAAATAGACTAGCCCGTTGCATCATTTTTTCACTGTGTATGTGTGTATATATATATATATATATATATATATATATATATATATATTAGGG